TAATGTCTACACAACACTTAATTCACAACTGTTCATATGATCTGTTCAAAAAAGTAATAACTTGGTGTAAGTAATGCAAAAGCTGTACACTTGACTTCTAGTGGATTTTGCTTACATTGATTGTCCTATGAGAGGGAGAATACATTGGACTTAGAAATAATTATATTAACTCTATTATTTAATTGAGAAAAAAATCCCTACAGAAACCATGGAACACTTGGATAGACTTTCTGTGTCTGCAACAAAGACAGAAAGACACTTCCTGGCCCTCTAAAAATACATTGTTGGGCATTTATTTATTTATACTGTATTATTACAGCACAAAACATTGTGGGCTGTCCCCTGATATCACTAGATGATACCGCTAGGGATTGCTGCCTTAGAAGAGTGAGGAAAATCCTCAGGGACGACTCACACCCTGGTCAGCACTTCTTCACTCTCCCACCATAAAGTAGGAGATATAGAAGCATAGCCAGCCTCATGCTTTTTTATGGTATAAGGGAACCAAAACACAGGGTTACTTTCGAAGACATTATATACAGGAGTCTTTGTGGTTAAACTGGGAGAAGATTAAAAAAACATTTATCTGAAAATTCCAGTTTGGTTATCGACTATAGAAGCATTTTCTTATCCTATAATCTATAAGAAGGAACAAACAGTTAGATATGGGGAATTATTAGATGAAAAGGGTGGATTTAAATCGATACAAAATCTAGAGGAACAAGGTATAAAGATGAATTGGTTTTCATATGTGCAAATACACTCAAGGTATGATGAAGATTCTAAAACAGAGGGATTTTATGATAAACAGACTGATTTAGATATGCTGGAAATGTCATCAGATACCTGGCTCATACTACCATATGTGGTGGACTTGTGAGGATGCTAGAAAATACTGGACTAAAATTCGCATGTGGTTGGAAAAAATGACAAAGAAACACATAGATTTGAAACCGGAGTTTTTTTTATTGGGAATCTTACCAGATGTATACAGTAAAGACTTGAAATATCTGATTGTAAATGTATTAACTGCGGCTAGGATTGTATTTGCTAAAAATTGGAAAAATGAGAAAATTCCATTGCAGGAAGAAATTATTAAGAAAATATTGGAATGTGTCGAGATGAGTAGATTGACATTTGAAATTAGAGAGCAAGAAGATAAACAACTTTATAAAATTTGGGACTTTTTCTATCAATGGTTGGACGATAAAATACAATAATATTTAGAATGTTAGATAATAAGGAATATCTTTGTTTTTTCTTTTGCTATTTGACATCACATCTATAAAGTGTTTTTTAGGATAGATTTGGTATGATTACATGATTTGTTGTAGAATAAATTACCTAAATTATAGTTATCTCATAAAGTATGAATGAATAAAAGTATAGTCAAATGATTTTTTTAATAATGATATGAGGACATATAAGTTTGGATTGATAATAAGAGTTATTATGTAACATAACGGTAATTGAGACTACGAAATGAATGCACAAAACTGATGAACCAACCGACACACTGTTTGTATATAAGTACGGAAGAGAGCTGATGCTTTTATGTTTTGTTTGTTTTGTTTGTTTTTTAAAAAAACCAATAAAATTGTTTTCAAAAAAAAAAAAGAAGCATAGCCAGCCGCACCAACAGGCTGAAGAACAGTTTCTACCCGTGGGCTGTCAGACTTCTGAATGGAAAATAACTCCATGCCAACATAGTATGATAGACTTGCAGAGATGATGTGTTGTGCAACAAGGTCACATAGCGTAATAAGATTGGGACTGGGTTAGGGACTTTTGTCCTCACTGTGAGTTGTGTTAGGGTGGTGATGCACGAAGGGAGGCTCAGCCAATCTCATTGTACACATGTTGTTCTCTGACAATAAAGGTAATAATAATTATTGTCCACCTCACATATGTGCCTGGGTGGCTAATAAGTTGTTTTAATTATTATAAAGTAATCATGAACACAGCCAGAAGTTGGACTGTACCACATACTCGGGGCTCTAGGCTTGGGTAGAAGTTTTCAAGGCCATGGGAAGGGCCAGTAGAGTCAAGGCCAATCTGATCTTTGAAGGGATAATGTAGCAGAGAGTGGACACTATGGCAGAAAAGCCACCCTTTTTTGGCCCACCTGCTGACAGTCTTTAACCAATGGGACATGGAACATACCTCTCCTATATAGTGACCATGCATCCTTTATTACAAAGAACAGTCCTTTATTTCAGAAAGCTGTCCTTTAGATTTATTTTTCAAAAACTCATATTTGTCCTTAACTTGGCCAAACAATTGAGGAGAGATGCCCTTGTAAATAACCCAATCCCTATCCATGAAGGGTTTTCACAGTGACTTGACTTGAATTAGACATGGAACAAAATGGTAGCCAATGGTGGAAGTTTGTGAGCAATGATGTTATAGCCAAAAATCTATTTCAGCATTACTTTATCTGGAAAGTTCTAAGTTGCCCACCCACGCTTGCAATGAGATATATATATTTTTGTATTGCCCCACATGGTAATCGTTTATCTAGTCACTTAATCATACCCTGTTTGTAGCCAATCAGGAGCCCTGATGGCGTAGCGCAGTGATTAATTGCAGAATTACAGGCAAACTCTGCCCACAGCCAGAAGTTTGATTCTGATAGGGCTCAAGATTGACTCATCCTTCCATCCTTCTGAGGTTGGTAAAATGAGGACCCAGATTGTTGAGAGCAACATACAAAAAATGCTTCTACTTTGTAAACGCCCAAAGAGTGCTGTATAAAGCACTATGCGACAGTATATAAGCCTAAATGCCATTGATATTGCTAATCATACAACAACAAAGTATAAACCAATACATCAATAATTTTATGCAATTAATAGCTATTTATTATGTATAATCAAAATATGAATTTATTATGTATAGTCCATTTTCTGCTTTTACCAGTAAGTAAGAATAAATGGAGTATTGAAAAAAACAAGCACCTAACACACACATACAAGCACCTCCCCTTCTGTAGGAGTTAGGAAGGATCAAATTAATCTTCCCATGATAAACAAGGGGAAAGGGTGGGATGAAAATGTGTTATTTTGTCACAGTAAACTTGCGAATCTAGCTCTTTAAACATAAGCAATCCACATTTTGTAAAAGTTCAAATGTTTTGAAAGATTAAGCACTAAAGCATACGCCTAAAATAAACCTGAAAAAAAAATCATGTTGCTAAACTAACAGGAAACATAACGAAGTAAACTTGTGAAAATCAAGAGTTTGGAGTTGACAAAACCACCTCATTTTGCACCTTAATGGAATTTAACCACTATACTGAAACAGTCACCCTCAGTAAATTCCATCCCTTTTATGTGGCTTAATCTCTGAATAGGAAGATTATCCAGAATAAAAAAGTGCCAGGTTCAGAAGTCCTGCAATGCAGATTGGAGATGCTCATTTTGCATCTGTAGAAGGATTTGGCATGGTGGCTTCATTGTGAAACTAAACTATCATGCAGCTGATCTAAGTGCAAATATTCTGAATCAAATCACACATGATTTCGGAAAGCAAGATAAGAATCAGTTGTTGGGAAACATGTCAAGCCTTTCAGAAATTGGCAGGCATGCTCAGGAAACAAGACCTACATGGATTTCTGGGAAGACCTTGATTGCTACTAAAGAATGGTAACAGAATCTTGAAAGCCACCCAAATAATTCTCCACTCTACATATACCTAATATAGTTGCGCACCATTTCCTCCTTTAACTATTTTCTGCCACTTCTGTGTTCCTGTGAGCTGTTAGATATTCACAATGTTATTCATAATAAATTTGAATAATCCATACTATTCACAATAAAACTTCAGAGAAGTGTTGACTAAACATTGGGAGAAACCTTTACACAAAACAAATTATTCAAAAATAGAAAAATCTTGGAAACCTGTACCTCTTTTTGCTGGAAATATTTGAGCAGTTTGTATTTTCAGTTGCACACTGTGTTACAGGAATCCCTTGACTTACAACCAATTGCTTAGTGACTGTTCAAAGTTATGAGGGACTCCCCCCACAAAGCTACTTACAACCTGGTTTTGAAATTCTGACATTGTCCCCCATCATGTGACCCCATTTTGGATGCTTGGCAATTGGCTCATATTTACGACTATTTGCAGTGCTCCGGAGTTTACTTCTGGTTTCTGGCAAAAAGTGGCCCACATCAAACAATATGTTTGCTTAACGACCATGGTGTTCGCTTAATGAACACAGCATTCATTTACAACTTCCGCATTTGCTTAACAACTACCGCAAAAAAAGTTGTAAAATTAGGTCCAGTCATGCCATGACCTGCTTTACATTTTACGATTGCAATTTACATTTGCTTTACGTCCCATTTTACAATTGCAATTGCGGGGTCTAATTACAGTTGTAACTTGAGGACTACCTGTACACTGGACCACATGACTTCCAAACGCTTTTCTAGCTTTGTGATTGATACGTGAAAAATAAACCTGGAATGAATTGTGCATTAGTCCTGAATATGAAAATCATGAATCCTAAAACCAAGGAAGATAAATTCATGGGGTCACAAAGGAGAAACATCTGGATGCAGACCACCTCAGGAGGCACATAAAGTAGACCCGCTAAGCTTTGGAAGACTGGAGATTCTTCAGAGCTTAGAAGACCAAGTCACTCTTTCCTGTAAACAAAGAGCTCTCCAACTTCTCAATCTGTTAGCTAAGAATAATTTAAAACTGAGACTAGTTTTATTATTTTGCAAATTATGTATTTTTATTAAGAAAACTGAAAAGGCATTCAAATTGCAACACATCTGATTTTTGAGGACTCAAAGAACGAACATAAATAAAAATGTGTTTCCCATCACATGATACAGTATTTTCTGAAGAAATTAAATTCCATTGGTGCAACAATAAAATAGCATCGATCTTCTTCAACTTGCAAAAGAAGTTTAATCTAATGTTGTAAAATTAAATTTATAAAAATAAAACAAGCAACCAAATAATAGAAGTTCTTATTGTGGTTTTTTTAAGCTGGTATTTTAAAATACTAAAATACAAAACGATTTCTAGTTGTCTGATAAAGTCCAGTTGTGGAATATTAATTCAATCTCTGGTCAAAAGAGAAATGAAGGATGATGTTCTTATTCTGTAAGTAAAAAATGAACATAAAAAGTATAAGCAGTATCATAATAAAACATTAGACGTCAAATAAGTAATTTCAAGAGCTTATAAATAAAAACACAAAAATAGCACTGATTGAAAATATAGACATAAAATAAAGAATATAAATTCCACCCACCCACTCCAAATCACCAATGCAATGCAAACATGAAAAAAGTGACTAGAATTTCTCAAAATAGCATCTCTTCAACCAATCTCTCATGCTTTCCCCATCATTAGAGTTAAAACACAGAACCAAGGATAGTGCTCCACTGCCAGTTTTAAGTCCATACATCAGTAGTTCTTGGGTTACGACCGGCTCTGAGATTGCCTTTGCTAAGTGATGCAGTTATAAAGTGTAATTGTCACATGACTGTGCCATTTAGTAGCAATAATTTACAGCAGTCCCAGTTTCTGTTGTAACACCAAGATGTGTGAATTGTTAAGCAGAAAGTGGTAGAAGTTCCAGAACAGTGCAGGGGTGCCAGGGAGTGCTGGGAGTGGCAGGGAGTGCTGGGAGGAAGCTGGGGGAGATCATGGGATGCCTGACACAGTCTATGGGTAAGTGCGGAAAGCCTAGAGCAGTGGCCCCCAACCTTTTTTGTGCCACGGCCCGGTACCGGCATCACAAAATGATCCGCGGCCCGGTACCAGCATCAGCATGCATGGCAGGGCGAGCCAAGCGACCGGTCAGCCATCCATCCTCCGCTTCTCCCTGCCTCCTTCAACTCCTTTGTACTTTGTCGATGGGCTTCGGGACAGCTTCGGGACGGTCGCTCAGCTCGCCTTGCCTTAGGTGCTGAAAGAATTCTCGCGCCTTAGTTTTGTTCGAAGCCGTCCCTCCCTTCGATGAAACTAAGGCGCGAGGATTCCTTCAGGACCCAAACGCTACTTTCCAACCGGAAAAGCTCACCGGAAGCACTTTCTCATCAAAACAAGATGGCGGAGCCCAGCAAACCGGCGGCCCGGTAGAAAATGTTCCACGGACGGTACTGGTCCGCGGCCCGGTGGTTGGGGACCCCTGGCCTAGAGGATGGAGAGTACAGCATGGTGCAAGCTCCAGAAGGCTGGGGGATGGAAGTACAGGGAGACTGGGAGACAGAGGGTGCAACATGGTGCAAGCACAGGAAGAAGACTTATCAGAGTAACTAGTGATCTCCCCTGCCAACTTCCCCATTGATTTTGCTTGTCAGAACCGGGCAGGGACGATTGCAAATGGCGGTCACACATCCATGAGATGCTGCAACCATTTTAAGTGCGAGCAGGTTGCCAAACCCCTGAATTGTGATAATCTGACTAGGAGGATTATACAGGAAGTCCTCGATTTACAGCAGTTCATTTAGTGACCGTTCAAAGTTATAACGGCCCTGATAAAAAGAGACTCAAGACAATTTTTCACACTTAGGACCTTTGTAGAATCCCCCTGATGATGTGATGAAAACTGCTTCATACTTATGACCGTTGCTGTGTCCCAGAGTCACGTGAGCACTTTTGCAGCCTTTTAACCAGCAAAATCAATGGGGAAGGCAGATTCACTTAACAACCGTGTTACTAACTTATGACCTGCAATGATTCACTGAACAACTGGGGCAAGAGAGGTTGTAAAATGGAGCGAAACTCATTTAACAAATGTTTCACTTAACAACAGAAATTTGGGGCTCATTTGGTATTGTAAGTCGAGGTTATCTAAGGACCACTCATCTAGTGCCATCACAATTTCAAACGATTGCTAAACAAGTGGTCAGAAAGCGAGGACTACCTTTTGACTTAAGGATATTCATGCAACCTGCTCCTGATTTGTTGAAAGTTTGGGTGCAACCATTAATACCATATGATAAATTGAGAATCTGTGCTTAGCATTAATAGTAGTCCTTATCTAAGCAGTTTTCTAGGGGATCTTCTATAAAGCAAAGTAAGAAGAAAAACACAAGAGGAAAAAAAGATACTGACCAGGGAGGAAGTCAATCACTTCTAAATATTTTTGTTAGGCTTTCCAGATCTTCAGTTTTGATAGATAATTCTTCAAGCAAGGTAGCAAAGAACTGCGTATATCCTTTATTTTGCTGAGAATGTGCAAAAGCAGGAATATTTTCTGACAAGCTAAAAGGCAAAAGTTGAGTGCTTTCAGAAAGATATAATCTTACAATGTCAAATAGGTAGATTTCAATGTCAAATATGAACCAAGAAGTAATCACAACATCCATCATGCTGATAATTAGTCACTTATGGAAATACTTTTTCCTAATGTTTTTTTTTTAAAAGTCCCCAAACAACTGACTTAGTAACAAACTAAAAACAAAAATAAGACACTTTGAAATGGTAGCAAATTCCTACTAGGTTTTCCAATAGTAATTATATAGGCCTGCTTAAAGAACAAAGGCAGCTGGGTGACTTTGGGGCAGTCATTTTCTCTCCGCTCTAGGAAAGAGGCAGTGGCAAACTACTTTCCAAATCCTGGCCAAGAAAGCTGCAGGGCCTTGTCCAGACAGTCTCTGGGACGTGATTGAAAGGAAGAAAAAAAGGAATGGACAGAACGAGTCTCTTAATTGAACCCCCCTCTACGCCCCCCCCCCGCAAAATGGGATCATGTATGAGATTGTGTATATATTTCAGAAGATTTCCAATCTCTCTCACTCACAAGGGTATAATTACACTCATACTTTTTAAAGGTGCAACATTCAGTTCCTTCTACCTGCTCCCAAATGCTCACAAAGAGCAAAATTATTGCTTGCAGTCTTCAAATAGAATAGAATAGAATAGAATAGAAGAGAAGAGAAGAGAATAGAATAGAATTCTTTATTGGCCAAGTGTGATTGGTGTAAATACTCTCATTATACTTAAAGAAAAGGTACATTCGTTAAGAATCAAGAACCATAACGTACAACACTTAATGATAGTCACAGGGTACAATCAACAATCAAATATACTAGGAAACAGTCAATATAAATCGTACGGATACAAGCAACAAAGTTACAGTCCTACAATCACAAGTGGGAGGGGATGGGTGATAAGGAGTGATGAGAAGATTAACAGTAACAGTAGTGTACACTTTGTAAATAGTTGAACAGCATTGAGGAAATTATTTGTTTAGCAGAGTGACGGCTTTTGGGAAAAAACTGTTCTTGTGTCTAGTTGTTTTGGTGTGCGGTGCTCTATAGCGTCATTTTGAGGGAAGGAGTTGAAACAGTTTATGTACGGGATGTGAGGGGTCTGTAAATATTTTCACAGCCCTTTTTTTGACTCGTGCAGTATGCAGGTCCTCAATTGAAGGCAGGTGGGTAGTAATTGTTTTTTCTGCAGTCCTAATTATCTTCTGAAGTCTGTGTCTGTCCTGTTGGGTTTCAGAACCAAACCAGACAGTTATAGAGGTGCAGATGATAGACTCAATAATTCCTCTGTAGAACTGTATCAGCAGCCCCTTGGGCAGTTTGAGCTTTCTGAATTGGCGCAGAAAGAACAGTCTTTGTTGTGCTTTTTTGATGATGTTTTTGATGTTAGATGTCCATTTTAGGTCATGTGATATAGTAGAACCTAGAAATTTGAAGGTCTCTACTGTTGATACTGTGTTGTCTAGTATTGTAAGAGGTGGTAGTATGGGAGGGTTTCTTCTAAAGTCTACCACCATTTCTACGGTTTTGAATGTGTTCAGTTCCAGATTGCTCCGGTTACACCACAAGGCAAGTTGTATAATCTCCTATCTGTATGCAGATTCATTGTTGTCTCGAATGAGACCAATCACTGTTGTGTCGTCAGCAAACTTTAGTATTTTAACAGATGGATTGTGTGAGATGCAGTCATTGGTATATAGGGAGAGGAGAAGTGGAGATAGCACACAGCCTTGTGGGGGCCCTGTGCTGATTGTACAGGTATCGGATGTGATTCCGCCCAGCTTCACCTGCTGCTTCCTGTCTGTTAGGAAGCTTATGATCCACTTACAAGTGTGTTCAGGTGCCGCTAGTTGGTTTAATTTACTTAGAAGAATGTCTGGAATGATGGCATTGAATGCTGAACTGAAGTCTACAAAGAGGACCCTTGTGTAGGTATTCGGAGATTCAAGGTGTTGTAGGATGTAATGCAGAGCCATGTTAACAGCATCATCTGTCGATCTATTTGCTCGGTATGCAAACGGATCTAACAGCAGATCCGTGATGGTTTTCAAGTGGGACAGCACAAATAAAAGATTTTCGTAACTACAGATGTTAGAGCAACTGGTCTGTAGTCATTCAGTTCCTTGATGGAAGGCTTCTTTGGCACTGGGATGATGGTAGAACGTTTGAAGGAGGAAGGAACATAGCACATCTCTGGTGATCTATTGAAGATTCAGGTGAAGATGGGGGTCAATTGGTCAGCACAGACTTTTAAGCAAGAAGGAGTTATCTTGTCTGCCCCTGGTGCTTTTCTTGGCTTTTGTCTGTGTAATAGATCTTGCACTTCTTTTTCTGTGATCACCAGAGATTGTGAGCCCAATGGATTGGGGCCAGTTGTAGGAGGCTTGGCTGTTGTTGGTGTGCTTGAGATGTGGGTTGTGGAAATAGATGGCTTTAGTTTCTTTTCAAACCTGCAGTAAAACACATTCAGGTCATCTGCTAGTTGTTGATTTCCTTCTGCCCGGGAAGGAGGTTTGCTGAAGCCAGTGATGTTTTTAAGAGTTTTCCACATGTTTGCTGGTTCATTTGTTGAGAACTGATTCCTTAACTTTTCAGAGTAGCTTCTCTTTGCTTCTCTGATCTCTCTTGTTAATATGTTTCTGGCCTGATTATATAGCATTCTGTCACCTTTTCTGTAGGCTTCCTCTTTGGAACAACATGGCTGCTTAAGTTTAGCTGTGAACCAAGGTTTATTGTTACTATATATTTGCAGGTTCCTTGTTGGTACACATAAGTCTTCGCAGAAGCTACTGATCTGGAGGGATCAATTATATCAATAATTATCACGTTGAATTGTAGCCAATTCCTTATATACAAATTCCTCTTCTCACTCCTAAATTACTTTTTGGATTGTAGTGTAAACCATATAAGCAACAACTTACATGATATATCCTCATCACATAAACCTTTGACTACTTACTCCGCTTGTGTATGGGTGGGGGTGCCTTTGAGTCAGTGTTGACTCCTGGACACTGCCTGGACAAGATTGTGCAAGTTTTCTCATTAAGGTTTTATTTCCACAAGTGGCTAGCCATTTGCCTTCTTCCTAGGATTAAAACGAGTGACTGGCTCAAGGTCACCATACTGGCTTTGTGCCTGAGGCAAGACTAGATCTCACAGTCTACCAGTTTCTAGCCTGGTGCCATCACCATCTATGCCAAATTTGGTTCCCACACCAACAAAACTGCCTCTGTTCTGAACAACCACCATGATAATATCAGCTTCTGTTTTTTCCTTACTCAACAGAACAGGCTTTTCTGATCAATCCCTTAAGCTTTCAGGACGAGGTAAGTGAACGTCATTTTTCTTCCAAGAGTGATGATTCAATTAAACTTCTTTACTGATAAAAGTAATGCTGCCCCAATACCTGTCTGATTGCCTGCATTTTATACCCAAGGCATTCGAAACACGTGAAACATGAAAGCGCTGCTACAGAAAAGCACCTCGTGTCTGATTCTGGATGATTCAGTGACACCCAGCCCTGAGCAGCCAGGAATCTAGCCAACACTTACAATGGGGTTCTGCAGAGAAAGATCACTACTTTCCCTAGTACAGATGGCAGTGAGAAGCCGGTATTTTGCGGAGCGATCACTGGAAGGAAGATGGCTGCCCCATGGTTTCCTTGCTCCTCCCAAAATCCTTTCAAGATCATTGGCTGCCTGCAACAGGGAATGAGCATCCTGCACATTCAGCTTTGGTTGTGTAGGGAGTAATTATTGCTACGTTTCCCCCCCCCCCCGCCAGTAGCTGTTTTCTCCATGATTTTCAACAGAGTAGGGGTATGCCTATGTATGCATATTAAAAAGAACGGAAGAAGTGGGCATATGTACTCCTACATATCGGAATCTTATTGATTTCAGAGTCAAAACAGTTATCCTTCCCCAAACTACATGAACCAAAAAAACACCCAGAAGATATAAAGCAAAGTAATTTCATTATGAGTGAAAAGTACAGATATGAATCTGTATCTTGACATACAGATATGAAAGGTCTAACCTGGAATCGATTTTACACTGAAGAAGAGAATTCACGTTCCTTTCTTATATCTAGTCTGCTAATCTCAGTTCCTGTCTGTATCCATTAGGTCTGAGAAACAAAGATTTCTGATTTTTGAACTTGCTTCTTCTGTGTCATGGATTTCTACAAAAGGCTTGGACTCTTTGCCACAGAAGCTTTTCCAATGATTATTTAATTTAGCTTTACCTACCACCATGGGGCACATAAAATATGAATATAACTCTCAGAAGCTGTAGGTCAATGGGAGCAAGCGAGTAATCAGAGCAATGCATTTTCTCAGCTGAGCTTCCATTACGTGAAGCAATCAGTATGTGAACTTAAAAATAAATAAATAAGCAGGCCGCAGGTGAGGGCTCTGAACTTGTGGTAGCAAGACAGACACCGGTAAATAACAAGGTCTGCAAATCTAGATATCATTTGCTCATCCAGGATACAGATCTATAGACCTAGGAACAAACATGTCTACAACTAGGTTACCCAGTTTTCACTTTCCTCTCCAGAATTCAGTCACAAAAGAATGCTGGGAATATTCTGGCAGATTTTCAATTCACAGGAAGTTATATAACAACCTAACAACCTAAGAAATGAGTAGATACCTCAAAACAGTACTGTATCTCAGATCTTTTGTAACACATAGTTCAGCTGTACATAGTCAATCCAGAAACATTACCTGAAGGTTGAAAATGTGTCAGCCAGCATGGGCATAATTCAATTAGTATGTTGTGACCTTTAGTTTATTTACAAGTTAGCAAGGTAATTTTTTCCCCCAAATTGTCTGAACTTTACTGACAAATGACATTCCAAGTTTGCATTCCAGTCCAGTACATCAACATATATTGTATCGATATGGTTTTACTATCTACATTTGATATAAACAATGTTAATTTCAGTTTTCAACCTAGTACCCTCTGATACAGAATGCATAATCCTCCAGTC